TACAGAGCTCAAATAAGAATAAACTAATTAGGATTTGATAATTTATGATATATTTACATTTTTCTTAATTCTTCAAACAATAGTATGAGAATATAAATTATATTTGTTGCAATACCTCTTAGTTTGGACTTATACTCTTACTTCTAGGCTACATATCGAATTGTACTTGAAAATATATAATGAGTACTTTCCGAGGCTGACATCAATTTGATATGCTGATGATGAAACAATAGCTATATATTGAACAATTGAGAATTTTCTTATTTTCCCTCTTTTAAACAAAACTAATTTAAAACGCGGAATTCGGACACGGTATAATGATAGAACAGTCACAAGTGTACAACAGACCTAGATGCGTTATGAATAGGAGAAAGAAAAGTTTGGGATGGGTGACAGTGCTGGGCATCGATGGTTTATATCGAAAAAAAGAGCTCCCTAGAGCTGACTTCAGTTTGTACACTGAAAGAGCTCTTTCCGATTCCACTCGTTCCACGGTTCCGTTCAGTTTTGAATTGAGAAAAAAAAGATTGTCATGCACTTGCATATAAAAAGTATTAAATTACAATTATTTTCTAATTTTTTTTTGTATATCTTAATTTTTGTATTAATAATTTTATTTACTTTATTTGGATTATTGTTTATATTTTTGTTTTATAAATTACTGAATTGTGTAATGCAGAAAATTTATTACTAATTATTATTATTGTTTTTATAAAAATGTTCTAATTAAAAAAAATAAAATGATACTATCAGTTATTATATTTTGTTATAGATTATCTAGAAGAAATTATGATAGGAGTAGTATAATTATAATTTATATAATAATTTATAATAAATACACATTTTTCTTACGTTATTTATTCAACATTGATCAAATTATATATATATATATATATTGCAACGATTGCCGAAAATCGTTCGACTCGCGCGAGGTAATTAGCGGTTAAGCGAGGTGAGCCGCGTTCGGTTCGCGAGAGAGAGAGAGCGCGTAAGGGGCAACGACCGGGAGGGGAGGCTCCGAGCGCCAGTATGACTGTGCCACTCAGTCGATCCGTGCGCCTAACCTCCATCCGTCCCGAGTTTTGTCGTTTTGGTTTTGGACATTGACATTGTTCCTGGTGAGCGTGCGTGGGTGAGGTGCAGCAGCAGCAGCAGCAGCAGCAGCAGCAACAGCAGCAATAGTAGCAGCAGCAACTGCAACAGCAGCAGCAGCAACAGCAATAACAGCAGCAACAGTAGCGGCAACAACAACTCCGGCAACAGCATCAGAGGCAGAGCAGCGTAGCGGCGTTTCAGCACTTGTCTTTTGGGTACGGTTGGCCACCGTATCCCCTGCGGTATTGCGGTAGGTGCACCTTCCCCTTTTGTTGATTGTAATAACGATTTTGCGTGCGAATCCGCGCAGCCAGCGCGGAGAGTTTATTGTTTTGCGTGCGAGCAGGTAGTTCGCGGCAATCGCGGTTTTTTTCTCTCTCTCTCGAAAAGCGTGTGTTGTCATTCACGCGTGCGCGCGTCAGTCTCTCGGCCAAATCCCCGTGTAATTGATTTTATTAAATAAATCATCCCTTGGTCTTTATTCGAACGAGTTTCCGTTATTGTGTTTTCCCTTTGTCCGGAGGTCGCGCATATTTGTTTACATTCCGATTCGAATTCGCCGGTAGCGAAGCACGAATCGCGTAAGTATCGCTAGACGCGAGTCGACATCCTAGGTTCCGGTGGCGGCCGCACGAGCGCTAATAGTACGAGCTACAGCGCCGCCAAGTGGCGAGTTGGGGGAACCCAACTCGGAACATCGAGGAGACTCTGCGCAGGCGCACTACGGGCAAGGTAGGTTCTGTGCTCTAAGCACATAGATAACAAGGCGTCGTTTAGTCACATTTAAAGGTACGTTTGCGTGATTTTAGACTAAATGGCAGCCTGTTACAATATATATATATATATATATATATATATATATATATATATATACTGATAACAATTCCTAAATACTCTTATAAAAAATAATAATATATATATATATATATAATTTATCGAATAACTTAATCTTATTGTATTTAACCGAATATCGAAAATTATGAAAAATACACATAGCTAAATTGTTTAGATGTTTAAATTTATATTTATTATTTGCTTAATTGTTTAAATATACAATATGCAAGTCGGTCCAGACGATCTCCTTGCAATGAATGCAATAAAAAATCATTTTCAATTATTAGCAGATCATAAATGTTGCATAAAACTAAAGAAATAGTTGATTCAACAGGTTTCCATACTTTTTTTTGAAGAAATATTCGTTTTACAATTATCCTAGAATAAACAGCTGTTGACAGTCTAATAGTTGGCCCAGATGATCTCCGTGCAAAGAGTGCATGAAAAATACATTTGCAATTGTTAGCAGATCATAAATGTTTTATAAAACTACGGAAATAGTCCATTAAACAGTTTTCCATACCTTTTTCAGAAGAAATACTCATTTTACAATTTACGCCAGAATAAACAGCTGTTGACAGTCTAATAGTCGGCCCAGATGATCTCCGTGCAAAGAGTGCATGAAAAATACATTTGCAATTGTTAGCAGACCATAAATGTTTATTAAACTACGGAAATAGTCCATTAAACAGTTTTCCATACCTTTTTCAGAAGAAATACTCATTCTACAATTTATACCAAAATAAACAGCGATTGACAGTCTAATACTCGGTCCAGATGATCTCCGTGCAAAGAGTACATAAAAAATAAATATGTCAATTTTAGCATATCATAAATGTTCTATAAAACTAAGGAAATAGTCCATTCAATCTAAGATGGAGTTTAGCTAAACATGAATATTAGAGTTATTTTTATTGAGACAAAGGTTACATTAGAAAATATTGCTAAGAAAATAGTATACTCAGCGTGGGTGTAATCACCGCAACTAAAGAAAGTATCAACTTCGAAAAGAAATAATTAAACTTCAAATGAAATTTCGTTTGTGAATGTTACTTAAAATGACAATTTGTGACTACTTTCGTATACTTGCCGAAACATATTCAGATAATGGCTTCAGTAAATGGAAAATCAAAATTAATTTATACTTCGATTGCTGATAGCGCTACCATTTTAACACACGATATAGCTTTTATAGAACGTTTATCGGTACCTAAGCTCGAAACGAACATTCATGCTCTTGATGTGAAAGACATCGCAAATAAAAAGAAACATCGTTGAAGACAAACTATTCATGTAAAATTCGACAGTTTTCATAACCCTGATTTGACAGCTAATTTGTATAACAAACTTCCTCGTTCCTCTCTTTGAAGCATCGATGTTCGATTGAATCCTACAGTGAGCAAAGATAAATTGAATTTAATAAGACGAGAAAAAAAGCTTACTATTAAAACACCATTTACATTATTGGCTTAATTTTTTAAAATTACTCACCACTGTTAGTTTACCTTAAAGTTGAATAAAAATATAAAAGTCTTAAAGAAGCCTTTATGAACGATAGATCGTTTGCAACCTGAAAAATGCATTGATAATATTTTAATATTTACCAATTAATTACGTATTCGTAAAACGCTTGAAAAAAAATTTATAAATGAATCTTTGACTCTGCATTAATTGTATATATAATTATAAATATTATTAAAGAAATGTTTATTACTTACGTGTATTGCAATGTACGTATAACTTTTTAAATAAAATCCACACCTATCAAAAAATGGATCTACACAATAATATCAATAATGTCAATTTCTGAAATTAATACAATTTTTATGCACAATAAACACTCTTTATAACCGTTAAAAAAACAACTGATACTAATAGAAGCACGATGTTGCTCTCTAGCCGGCACAAAAGAAACAAATTCGCTCGTTCGATCGTCATTCGGCGGGAAGGCTCGGGTTGTTTTGTTTACATTGCGAATTGCGGAAGTCGTGTATATCATAATAGAATGGGAGTCTGGTATTTAAATAATTTTTATAATTTCATTTCAATATTTAATGACAAATTAAATAATACTCTGTAAATGCTAAAGAATAATTCATTTTTAATAATTATAAAATCAGAAAAGAGTGAAAACAAGGTTACTAAAAAATTACTTTTTATAATTAATTACAGTTTTTATTATTTATTATTTATTACTCTTCAACAATTTTACAATACATTGTATATATAAATAAAATTTTTTTACATGCTAATATGCGAAAAGTATTTTCTTTTAGGGAGTGTCTACACGGGATCCGTCCTCGGATCCGTCCCCGTCCAAATTTTTATAGGCACACGCCATCTTCATAACTTCAAGTTCAGTGGTGAGTTTCAAATTTGATGTGAGAAACGCATCTATACAGTTCTTATATCCGTGATTTACAGCTCCAATTTTATTTATACGTTACACGTTGAACGGTACACTTTCAACGTGTAACGTATAAATAAAATTGGAGCTGTAAATCACGGATATAAGAACTGTATAGATGCGTTTCTCACATCAAATTTGAAACTCACCACTGAACTTGAAGTTATGAAGATGGCGTGTGCCTATAAAAATTTGGACGGGGACGGATCCGTCCACGGATCCGAGGACGGATCCCGTGTAGACACTCCCTTAGAATTCATAATTCAGTGGAACCTTGGAACGAACGGAATCGGAAAGAGCTCTTTCAGTGTACAAACTGAAGTCAGCTCTAGGGAGCTCCTTTTTTCGATATAAACCATCGATGCCCAGCCCTGATGGGTGACCGAATGCTCATCGCTGCTTTTTTTCCAAAGTCAACTATCGAAACTCCACACTGCTGACTGCATCATATCAGCGTACAAAGTTCCAATCGTAAAAATGAATTAAACTGATTGGCGATAGTTAATATATGTTAATATATATTCAAAAATAGAATTGACATTTTTTATGTTTGTCGAATGTGCGAATTAAATCAACCCAGCATTAATTTTTAAAATTTACTTCAAATAAAAATATCAATAAATAATAAAGGTAAAGTTGATTGATGTGAAATCAAGCAATCGTTGCTATTAATTTTTTCATCAAAAAATTCTAATTGAATATTAGACAAATTAATTTTATTGCATATTTAAATTGGAAAAATCTATATCTGTCAATTATAATTTTTTATAATGTATAAAATACAATTATGTTGGCTGTAACAGAAAACGGGACGAAGAATGTAAAATCGTTTTATGTAAATAAAGTAATAAAATTGTCAATTAAAAGTAAATGATTAATGATATAATTGTTTAGTACGTTTCATTATATTATTCAAACTAACAAGCTATTTTTAATCTATATTGATACATGTTGTTAAAGTGTAAAATATTGAACATATAAAAAAATTGCATGTGCATGAAGTGAAAACTACTGTTAGTCGTCTCACTATTAAACATGTTTATACTGAATTCATTGCACTCTTTGGGGAGTATGTATTTCTTTTATAATCTAAATTCTACTATATATTCAACAATTTATCTTTTTTTTCTTATATCAAGTTTATATTCACTAAAAATAAATTTTACATTACCATTAGATTTTATCATTAAGCAAGCAACATTATATAATTTCATGATAATTTTTTTGCTCTTCTAGATATCATTAATTTTGTAGAGATATTTGTAATTAACCATTTACATTAATCATTGTTTTAAAATTAAGGAGTTTTTTCTTTTAATAAAGCATAAATTTTCAAAATTGTTGTAATATTTTTATACAAATGAATTATATGCTTTTTCCATTATCTTCCAGAAATATGGTAAAAAGAATTCAGGATATCAGATATTTTGTCAAATATCAATGAAAAAAGATTGAGCAATATTAATATGACCACTGTCGAGTCTACAAGTAATAAGCTTTACCATGTTTTGAGTCATCTTCAATATGAATATCTCCTTGCTGGAATTGCAGGAGGAACTATGTCAACTTTAGTACTTCATCCTTTGGATTTGATCAAAGTTCGCTTTGCTGGTAATATTTTATTTACCATCATCATCGCCATTAATATATACAGTATATAACATATAAGCATTCAAATCACACAATCTTGTATGATGTTGTAATAAATATATGATATATTTGAAAATATCAAGAAGTATAATGATATACCAAAATAAGAACAATATTTAGCTAAAATACATTTGAGAAATTAAATAGAAACATTATATACATACAAATAATAATTATGTAGAATCTATGATGCAAACAAGGTATTTATAATAAAGTAACAGAAATCAAAAAGGTATTAAAAGATTATATTTTTATAAAGCGCCAGTGGTAAATTATTTAATATTAATTTTCTTTTAACTACAATGACTTAAAGTGATCTCTGTCAGTGGTAGTTACATAGGAGTGAGAGACAATTTATAATACTGGACCACAATATCGTAAGGGACTGTTCATTGTCAAAATACAGTAAAAAAAATAATGAATAAATACAATTACAAGTAAAGAATAAATACTTTCTTAAGTTGATTAGATACAAATGCACTGAAATAGATGAGATATGGCAAGGTGTTGTAATTATAAAAAAGTGGTACTTATACTTATAGGTTTATATCAAATATTTTATTTTTTATATTATTTGAAATCGATGAAAAAATTGTCTCTATTAATATTCATATACTTTATAAGTTTATAGGAAAATGACTATGAACTTTATTTTATCACCTATAATATCGTGCACGATATCATTCAGAAATAAATATATATTCAATGAGCTTTTTTCTTTTGAGATGCTTGCTGCTAATAATAATCCTTAATCCTTCTTATAAAAAAAAAACCTGCCAAAGTGAAGCCAATTTATTCGTGAGCTGATTGATTGAAAGATAGTCACGATGATCAGCTGTTGTGGACTATTATATATAGGTATATGCTGTGTAGGCTCATGAAAGATTACTGTAGATAATTAAATGTTTGAAAAGTGCATCTATATAGTGAGCATGAATTTCATATGAATTGATAAAGTTAACCATAAAAGATATAAATTGACAGATTATCACGATAAAATATTGTAGTTTCAACTTTATTAATAAGTTACATGTGATTAGAAAATTTTTTTTAAAAGGAGGTAATTAGAACTATGAAAGTTTTATACCAAAGTATGTTATTTACGTTGTGAAGGACATGATTATAGAAAATTATGTTTTTAGAACTCGCAATACATTTGTATCGTGTTTTTCAAACTTTCGAATAATGATTTTTCAACGCAGCACTTGGGATGATCAAAACTTGAAATTTCATCGATAACATTTTTAAATCATATGAGTATATAACTGCATATTTATTTATCAATATCGCCGGCTATATCTAATATGAAATAAAAGCAATATCTAATGCTATTTGAATTTTTGCATGTTTTATTTCGCTAATAAAATAAAATATTCGTGAATGACCGATGCGTGTGGCACGAAAATCTAAATGATACTGCCGGTTTTTTAAAGTTGCAACTGTGCACGTAACTAACATTTTTCTCTTTCTCTATCGTTTTCGCGCTCCTCGTAATCGTCATCTTTTGAAAAATAAAAAGAGTAACTATTGATTGTCTCGATTAACAACAATATCTCAAAGCATTAACAGTAATTGTTTTTGCCATTAATTGTTTTCAATGTCATATATAACGTAAACTAATTGAAAGTTACAAATTGATAGAGTTATAAATAGGATTCTTCTTGCGACATTTTCTAACAATGTTGGTCTTTCGATAGGAAAATTCATATGTTGGTGTAAGCGATCGAGATCTTCCGGGGAGTAGATTCCATCATTAATAAAACTGTTTATATCTCTGTAATGCCACGTCAGTTCTTTCATTGGTTGAATTATACTTGGATTAGTAAGTAGTGACTGAGTTCTTAATGGAGAATACCATACGTTGTTAAATTTGAATCCTGCGGGTAATATTGAATTGCAATCTCTCGCGGTTCTGTGTGGTTGTAATATGTGTGTTTTTGGTTTTACGAAGAATTTTTCTTTATTACAAATGACTGGTAATCGTGGTAAGTTTTTAGTATCTCTGAGACGACATTCCGTTGGTTGGCACTGCATAATGTATGCAATTTTACCAACTGCGAGTGCTGTGTGTCCTGGTTGCCATATGATGATCGTGGCAAATTCATTAGGTTCAGTGTATGCCACTAAAAGAGAATTTTGAATTACTTGTCGTTCAAGTTCACATCTGTATTTTATTATATTCTTGTATGCTTGGGAAAATTGAAGTTTAACGAACCTTGCGAAATAAGTCATTTTTGTGTTAAAATACGCCAACAGAAGTTTATCTTAAACATCGATCATCTGTTTTGTGGGAAAGAAACCGCTTAGTTGTGTTTCTACTATGAAAAGTCTAGCTTGTTCGGTGGAAATGAGGCAGTATCTGTATAGATCAAATGAACTCTCAACGGCTAATCCGAAGTTTATATTTCCGGTTGAGTTGGTTTAAATACACGTCTGGAGCACGTGTGATGTTATCGGACACTTTGTGATAATCCGTTATCACAAGAAAATCACGTGCTCACTATTTTCTTTGCTACTCCCGACTCCGGAAATCCTTTTCGCTCAAGAAGACGCAACTGACCGATCAGCTGATTCTACTAGCTCACATACGTTTCTATTCCGCTTCGAAACTTCGTGAATCACGACTTCTCAGGACCCGCCCGACTGATGCGCACCTTTCTTATGTTCTCGGACCGACGCTTCCCCAGGAAGCTAGACAACAAGGAAGTTCGAAGCCAAGATCAGCTGATCCTGTTAGCCGACTTCGCAAGGAAAAGCACCGCATGCACATTAACACCGCTTGCCACCCAATCAACACACCCGAAGGACAGTCCAATGCACACACATACACACACAGTAACCGACCTTCCAGGCACCGAGAGGTAGTCATGAAGAGCGGCAACGGGACGCGAAGTTGATGCATGAGCTGAACCGCGGCCATGTTGCGACGCAATCGGCAACGAACATGAACCAGAGATAGTGAAGGGGGGAGAGAGAGAGAGCGAGAACATGAGTGCGAGCGAGGCGACCGATAGAGTAGGCGTGAGAAGGGATACCGATGCTAAGTAGGGACGATCGGTAGGGCTAATGAGCATGAGAAAGCAAAGGATAGACGATAACAATGTGAGTAACTCTAGACCGATCGGTGCATGCACTCTCGACTAGCTAATGATAATAGACTTAGGGGTATAATAACGAATAGGATAAAACCGACGCTACTTAATTGACCAGTAGAAAAATTACGCAGGATAAAGTAACCAAATAGACAGCGCTGATGATCGGGTTGACGACACCCGTGACCAATAGAATAAAAACTCGCAAGAAAAGAGGAGAGAAAATCGGAGAGACGCGATACAACGTCGCGCTAGTCGCGGCCTATTTCCTTGGAGACAGTAGCCGAGGACGGAAGCAACCAACAAAAGTGCGACCCGACTAAGTGATAAGTGCTACTAGTGTGGACAAGAGAGAGAGGCATGGGCGGGAGTCACGGTCCTGGAAGTTCTACAGCATATGCGAGTATCTATTACGATTAAATCGTGAACGGGAGTGCGCGGAAAGATAATAGGCGCTGCGAACCCGCGAATTGTTCCGATCAACCCTCGGTAAGTCCATAGTACGTGTTAAGTTGTCGCCTTTATCCTCGCTCGTTCTCTGACCGACCAATCGACCGACCTGCAATTATCGCAAGGGCGGGTTGCGATCACGTCACGGTGCACCTAAAAACAAAGAAGCGACTCGCATGCTGCGACAGGGATAGCGTCGGCGAGGATAGCTAAATTGACCCGCGTGGTCTAATAAAATAGAAATACGAGGTCTGTCCGGAAAGTATCGGGCCTACGTTTATATCTTCGCGCCATAGTGTTCGAGCGACCTCTACCGGACAGACCGTCTTGTACACGTAAGTACTCCGGAAATGATCAATAAAATCCAGGACATGGTGTTGAGTGACCGAAGAATAAAATTGCGTGCAATAGTTGAGACTTTCTACGTCGAGTCATGATTGTAGACGAAACGTGGATACACCACTACACTCCTAAGATGAAAGAATAGTCAAAACAGTGGATTGTGAAAGATCAACTAGCTTCAAAGAAGGCAAAGACATTGAACTCGATTGGTAAGTTTATAGGCACTGTTTTTTGGGATGCACGTGGAATTATCTTGGTCGACTATTTAAAAAAAAGACAAACAATCACCAAAGAGTATTATGCGTCGTTGTTGGACCGGTTAAGCGAGAAAATAAAGGAAAAACGTCCTCATTTGAACAAAAAAAACTCTGTTTTGTGAAGACAATGCACGAGTGCACACTTGCTTACTTTCAATAGCTAACATTATGGAATTAAAGTTCAAATTAGTAGATCATCCACCGTATTCACCATATTTGGCCCCTGGTGACTTTTTTTATTCCCAAATCTAAAAACGTGGTGTGTCGGACAACGATTCATTTCGAATGAGCAGGTCATAACACAAACAAATGGTTATTTTGAGGAAGTTCCAAAATTATTTTTTTCTGATGGATTAAAAGAACTTGAAGAACGCATGGAAAAGTGTATCGAGCTAAAAGGATATTATGTTGAAAAATAAAAACAATCTACTAAACAAAATTGATTTTCTATCTTTTTCTAAGGATTTATTGACACATCCTCGTATATATTACAATTATACTGAGGTTCCGGCTTTATTTCCCAGAAAGTATAGTATTCTTCATTGGTGAAACAGTGACCATCAATATAAGTACATTGCGTACCAAGAGGAATATATATTTTGTTTTTCTTTCTCTTTGCACTCCGTGAAATTTCTGAACTATGATTGTAAGTTCTAAGTACTCGTATGTATTTTCGTACCCAATGCTGTATATTACTAAACGAACGTCTCGACATTTTTCTTCGTTGAACAACGAGTCATGGCTGGTGACAGTTTCACGTGTTGTTTCGTTTATTCTGATGTTTCTTATGATGGCTTCTTCAAGTTTGAACTTTATCATA